TGTGGTGATAACTGGGCTGGAGGAAGTTGAAATCTAAGGTGGCTTTTGAACAGAGATCTGAAAGCCCTAAGGTTAGCTTCCCTGGTACAGTGACCAGCATGGACAAAAGACCCCTGACAATTTCTAACCTGAGCAATTGGAAGGATGTGTCACCATGAACTGAACAAAGGAACAGGATGCTCAGGAATGAAGTCTGGCTGGAGACAGAAGTGTGGATGTCACCGTATGCAGGCAGCACAGAAAACAACAGGTCCCAGAAGCGATGAGCTGGGGAGCAGGGGCCGGTGGACCCCGAGCTCAGACTGCAGAGAACGGGTGAGGGGAGGAGTGCAGTGCAGGAGGCCCTGGAACTGGCGGACTGTGAATGCAGGCGGGAAACGGTGCCTCCAAGGTCACCTACAAAAGCCAGTTTTTTCATCTTGTTCCTAGATCCAGGACAGTGCTTCTGTCTTGGCAGGTGGGAGTGGGGAGCTCCCAAGGGTCATGAGGTAGAGGGAACTCCTGAGAAGGTGACTTGGAACAGTCATACTCCATTTCACAGGCAGAACATTCCCGAGTCTTATGTGGCTTTCCCAGCAAACAGCCTTGTTACCTCCTCTCAGCCAACTCTCCTGTTTCCTCACTCACTGATAACAAGCTTTCTTAATGAGAATTCGTGTGTGTGTGTGTGTGCCTGCGCACTTGCAATGCTTTTGATATTAATCGTGTATCATTCTTAGTAGATGCAGTCGAGTACTCCCATTTTACAGATGGGAGCATGAAATGAAATAACTTGTTCCAACTGGCCCTATTGGAAACTCAAACCCTGGAGCGCCCAGTTCCAACCCTCCAGTTCCCAGCCTAGCCTTTCTAGGGAATCTCCTACTCTTCTCAGTCGCTCATTTAAATGGACACTAATAAATATTTTCTTGCATATTGTTTGCTTTCTGACATATTCTTGAGGAAGACATTTTAAGGTATGCATCGTACATGAGGAATCATGAGAACTAAGGCATCAGAGGAGGGCTGAGCTTGTGCTAGTACGGGGGCTTGCAATCCCCAATACTTTTGTATCTTTTGCTGGTTCTGCCAAAAACAATTTAGGAGGGAAGTAAGGGAAGAGTGTGGATGGGAAGGAGGCTGTGAGATGTGCTGGATCCCACCGATTCAAGTTTGTACTAGTGCTGTTGTGAGTTACCATATAGAGCTGGGGTACTGGAGAGAAGAGGCCCTCCTGCAGAATTATGGGGTTATAAAGGCAGAGAGACACTCCTGGTCTGAGTAGCTTTAGGGGGTGTAGACACGGCTCCCATCAGCACCTCCTGCCTGCCTAAAAACACTCCACATCTGTTAGTCTATTACAAAGTAATGCATATCTTAAATCTCTCTCTCTCTCTCTCTCTCTCTCTCTCTCTCTCTCTCTCTCTCTCACA